AGAGGGTCCCCCGGAAGGGTGGGAGGGATTACTCCTAAACAAGTCCTAATATGCATGTGAGGATACAGCCTTCCGGGTTTCCAGCATGGGTTGACATGACCCTTGCTTATAGAAAGCAAGGGTGCTTTTTGCCAAGTTACAAAAGGATCTTTTCTCCCCAGAGCATGGAAAACCAACACAGAGGAGTTGGAGTTGTGCCCCAGACATCGCCCGCCTGCTAAATGCAGAACACTTAGTCACCCCCATGAAACAGACACCCCATGTCGTCATGTATCTGCAGATAGCCCGCTGAGCTTATGCTCCTGGTAGGGCAGGGTGTGTCCCGTAACTGATGCTGCTTTCAAATAAGCCGAGAATTTTAAAATAGAAAATCAGATTAGAAAAGTAAAAGCCTTTAATAAATAAAGAAGTAAGTAAAGAATAAGGATATAGGCAGATGCTTTAAAAACAACAACACTCAACCCTCGGTCTTACACTCATTAGGTATACAGCTGGCTCTGTGGGTGCTGGAGTGTAGTAAGCACATCAGTGATGGGAAAGGACATTTCCCAGCCCACTCCAAACTGACAGACTTGAGGGGTGTTGGTAGAGTCGAGCCATACTGAATGAATAAGAGCTAAAATAGATTTTTAAAAGTGGAGGGTTATTGATTTATGTTCTTTTTTAGTATTTCCTTCTTTCTACTTTTGGTTTATTTTGATCTTGTTTTTCAGATTCTTGAGATGGCAGGATAGATTATTGGTTGAGACGTTTCCTCTTTCCTAGTGCTCTGAGCGCTATGAAGTTTCCTCTAAACACAGCTTTAACTGTGTCCCTTCAGTTTTGATGGGTTGTATGTTCATTTTCATTCAGTTGAAGTTGTATTTTCTATTTCCCTTGAGACGTTTCCTTTTGACCTAGGGGTTTTCTAGAGGTTTTGTTTCCACATAGATCGGGTCCCTATCAATCACTCAACTCACTGACAGTGGGTTTGGGGCTTGGGGAGGAATTTTTGTGTCCAAGTGTTTGGAGATTTTCCTCTATCTTTCTGTTAATGGATTTCTAGTTTAGTTCTATTGTGATCCTATCTTTCTGTTAATGGATTTCTAGTTTAGTTCTATTGTGATCAGAGAACACCTTCTGTATGATTTCTGGCCTTTGTTTCATGGTATTGAATATGGTCTGTTTGCTATGTTCCATGGCCACTAGTAAAGAATGTGTATTAGCTGTTGGTGGATCAGTGTTCTAGAAATGTCAGTTAGCCCCTGCTGCATGGTGGTATAAATGAGTTCTAATGTTGCCTTACTGACTTTCCTGGTACTTGTTCTGTCAATTGTGGAGAAAGTCCTGTTGGTTCGAACTATTATTGAAAAAAATGTTAATGTTACCAGGTTTTTTTAAATTGTGGTGAACTATATGTAGAGAACATTCCAGGTATTTTTAGTCAATGTGTTGTGTACAACCAGCCCCATTTCCAAATGTCTACTGATAGCACCTCTACGGAAAATGCTGGACCTCTTAAGCAGGCTCTGCCTCCCCTTACTACCTACTTTGACCCATCTCCAGTAACCACCAATGATCTGGTCTCTGCAGTTCCCTGTTCTTCTGAGTGTGATGACTGGACAGGATGTGTTCTTCTGTGTCTGTCGTATCTCACTCAGCTTCAAATGTTTTGTCAGTTTTTGTTTTACGGTTTTTCGTAGCCCTGTTGTTTGGTGTATACACTTTAAAGTTACTGTGGCTTCTTAGTGGATTCACCCTTTTATCATTATACTAGAGTAGGTAAAATGTTGATATAAAATCATGGAGCCTTTTATTAAACACAGATGTCCACATGTGAAGCTACTACTTCTTGCCATAGCCTCCACTCAGGCGATGTTTCTCCCTCCCTGGTGAATCTGGGCTCTCCAGCGTACACGGCATCAACATGGTAGTTTGGAATCCTTGAGGGACTCAAATTCTGTTGCTATAAAATGGTCTTTTGAGCTTTGGGAACAAAAAGAAGGCAGAGGGGGCATGATCCGGGCTGCAGTGAGGAACACAGAAAGGTTTCCCAGTGGATTTCTTGTAGGATAGCCCTTGTTACCCCCAAAGAATGAGCAGGTGCATGGTTGTGATGGGGAAAAATTCTTGGCGCGATTTTTCTTGGCCTTTTCCTTACCAATGCGATTTTTATTTTCTTAAAACTTCTCAATAAGTCCCATGGTCATCCCTGTGTCCTTTGAGAAAGTCTATGAAGAGAACTTTTTTGGGACCCCCAAAAGCAGCCACTAGAACTTTATGAGCAGACTTCTACCTGGAATTGAACTCGCCCAGCAGGTCCCCTTGGCAGATACTGCTTTTTGTTTTGTTTTTATTAAAAGATCATTTTTATTGGGGCTCTTATAACTCTTAAGGCAGGTACTGTTTTGATAGGACTTTTTTAAAGGTGCCCTAGGAGACAAGGTAAGTGTAGTACTGAAAGCACTTGTCTGTGCCCATCCACTGATGGCAGCAACGATTGTTACGGGGGTCCAGCTCATAAACCTGTGTGTGCACGAGCTGGACCCCCGTCACAGTACTTTTCTTTCGGTCACATGACACCCCTCTCTGCCTCTGCTCATTTTCTTTGCCCTCGTTGAGAGAGTAGGCTTCCGTTTGCCTTTCTGTTTTCTTCCTCTGGGGATTTCTGAGTTTCCTGGTTTTTCAGCTCCCACTTCTGGGATCTGTGCAGCAATGAGAGAACAAGGAGAGCCAGTCTGCCCTTTCCCTTCGCCTCTCAGTCCTAAAGATCCGTGCCATGGTGTGGCGCTTTGCCTAGCCCACAGGTGGGCCCTTTGAAGCCATGCGGTGGAGCAGCTGTGCCGGTGTACTGCCCTAAAGAGGATTGCCCCGGAAATGCTCTGGATGGGGTAGGTGGCAGCGAGGTGTGTCTGTGTGTCTACATGGTACCAAATGCCTACACGTTGTAGTTGCATGTACTGGGAGGAGTCAGAAAAGAGAGTTGTATTCTATCTGCCCAGAAGTGGATGTCCAGTTGTCTTTCCAGGTTGTGTATGGTCTGAAGTCTTTTCATTAAAATGCTTCCTTATCCTGACATTGTACTATAAGTTCTTCTACAACGGTTAGCACTCTCTTTTCCACATTGAGTTTTTCTTTTCCCCGTGAGGGAGACATGAAGCAGGACCCAAAGTGCACCTCCCTCCCCCACTTGTGTGGAGCCGTGGACTGTTAATGTTCTTCTTCCTTTGTGATTTAGGGGACTCCACGCTCTGTGGGGTTTGGGGCCAGAATCTGTATGCAGGCAGACGGGCAGGCCTTTCTTCCATGGTACTGCTGGGTGAGTTTGAACCGCCAGCTGTTTGGCTAGCAGTTGAGTTGTTCCACCCACATACCATGGGCCTTTGAGCAGTTACAGTCAAGCTGCTTCTGGGCTCTTGCTCAGGTGTTCTGGTTCCACCGTCCATTTGTCCACCGATTCCATGTGATATTGCCTTGATACAGTAGCTTTATGGTAAATCTTGATGTTTGCAAGGGAGAAACTTTCTTGGTGTTGGTCTGATTTTTGTAATGTTCGGTTGAGTTTCTTAAGTTCAGGCATCCCCTGGGTGGGGCCAACCATGAATGTTCTCGACTGCTAACTGAAATGTTGGCAGCCGAGTCTACTCCGAGCTGCCTCAGAAGAAAGACCTGGCAGTCGCTTCTGTAAAGCCAGCCATCGAACCCTGCCTGAGTACTTTCTGCCCTGACACCGTGGGCCACTGGGACTCACAATCAGCTGAGTTTGGCAACTGTTTTGTTGTTGTTGTATGTTCAAGCCCCAGATAAGCACAGTTAAACCAACAACAACAGAACTCCCTTGGGTTTGTACTGATGTTAGAATATTCCGTTTGCTTCAGCCGCTTTGTTTTTTTCTTAGCAATCTGGTGCTTATTTACTTTGCGTTAGTTATCCAGGTCAAAAAATGTTGCAGGGCTTCTTGGAAGCCTGGATTTAGTCCTTGTCCAGAACGGGAAGGTGCTTGTGATGGCTGTTGTCACTGGTGGGTACCATTGAGCCAGCAAGTCCCACAAGGCGTCTAGATGTCTGCCGACCCAGAGCAGGTGGCAAGGAGCCAGCATACAGTCGAGGATCCAGTCGAGGTGCACACGCTGTAACTGGCTGCTGTCTCTACATCTAGACACCAGTCCTCTTGCTTGTAGATGTTGACATTGGGAGTTACCAGACCATTTGTTTTTGTTTATTTTATTTAAAAATTTTTATTGGGGGAGGGAAAGGGAAGAGCTGATACCAAGGGCTCAATCGAAAGTAAATGTCTAGAGAAGAATGAGGGTAACATATGTACAAACATGCCTAATTTAATTGATGTATGGATTGTGCTAAGAGTTGTATGAGTCCCAAATAAAATGATTAACATTTTGATTATCTAACCAGTATCAGCAATGCAAATAGTCTTATTGACATATAATGCACATACCATACACATCAACAGGTCAGTCATAAAAGAGTTATGTCACCATCCCCACCATCAGTGGTAGGACATTTCTCCGTATACTCGTTGTTCTTAGCTTCCCATCACGGCCCCTGTGTTTCCTGTAAAGTGGAAGTTCAGTCTGGAGCAGCCCTGCCTAACAAATGTCATTTGAACCTTATTTGTCATGTAAAAGTTCCTGGGAGTCGTGTGTGTGTGTGTGTGTGTGTGTGTGTGTGTGTGTGTCAGGTGATATTAGAGTTGGTAATATATTTTATTTAATTCCATATTTTAGCATATGATGAATATTTAGTGCACGAATGGCATCTTTTCCATTATGTTTTGGTACTGCTGTAAGGCTTCAAACCCTAGTGTGTGTCGTCTGGTGCAGCATTTCCATTTGGACCATCCCTTGTATCTGGTGGCTTTTCTGGAGACCATAGGCTGAGAGGTTTGATCCAACTCAAGAAGATATTTCTGGTGGAACACTTTGGGGAAGACAGCTGCCTGTGTCTGACCTGGGAGCCAGGGAGTTAGTTGCTCACGTCTGATTCTGCTTCTTTTCCAGGCTCTGAGTGCTCTGGGATGGAGCAGGTGTGCAGAGGGTGAGGACACAGCTCTGGGACCACGTCACTCACTTCCTTCCTTGGATCGATTACTGGCTTGAGCAGACAAGGATGTCTGGGAACTTGCTGCTGCCCCCGCTCGCGGGGAGGACCTTCCTGTTGCTGCTCTTGGTGGCCTTGGCTCAGTCCCACTGGCCCAGTGAACCCTCGGAGACCGTCAGGGATTTGGAGAACCAGCTGGAGGCGTCCATGCACTCGGTGCTCCCAGACCTCCATGAGGCCGCCCCGACAGTGCTTGGCATCCCCGACGGCACGGCTGTTGTTGGCCGCTCCTTCCGAGTGGTCATTCCAACAGATTTAATTGCCTCCAGTGGAGAAGTCGTCAAGGTGAGATCGATAGACAGCGTCACTGAGCAGGAGCTCTCCTCTTCCTTCCTTTGCGTTCTGGCGCCTTTTTCTCAATCCTTTTAAAAATCATTGTATTGGCGCCGTACAACTCATCACAATCCACACATCCATCCGTTGTGTCAAGAAAATTTGTACATTTGTTGCCATCGTCATTTTCAAAACATTTTCTTTCTACTTGAGCCCTTGGTATGAGCTCCTCATCCCCCCCCACACACCCCTGCCCTTCCTCCCGAATCCTTGGTAATTTAAAAATTATTACTATTTTTTCAACCTTGTTCTCCATTCTAAGCTGGAAACTCAGAACCCAATTCCTCTAGGGCCTGCTAAGTGCTTCTTAGGAGAGGGACAGCCACTGATGTTCCTGAGAGGGTCCCTGTATTTCTCAGAGGAGTGTCCTAAATGGTCCTGCCCCACTTTGAGAGCGTCACTAGTTGAAAGCCTTTACGTCCATGCTCTGGAAGTGGACTGGGTGAAGGGCATGCTGTGAGTGTAGGAGACAATGGCATCTCACAGACCATGGCACTAAGCCCAAGAAATGCAGCCCTGTTGATGGTTTGGCCTTCCTTCTAAAATGAGGTATAAGTAAACACAGGGGTTTGCCCTGATTTGCTCTACTAATGTGTTTGGTTACATGAGAGCCAGAATTAGAAGCCCTTCTGAAGAACAGCCTAGAGAACAAGGGATCAGACGTGTGGCCAAGAGTGTCTTGGTTGGCCAGGGACAGGAATCCGATGAAACAGGAAGCTTTCCTCTGAAAAAGGAGCATCCTTCCTCTTATCCGTGGCAGGGCCCTTGGCATTTCCCAGATCTTAGGCTGGGCTGCACAAGGGAGACCACTCAAGCTGTGAACACCCTCTAAAACAGACAGACCATATATACTTGAGGATAAGCCAACCTGAATATCAGCCGAGGCACCGAATTTTACCACAAAAACGACATGAAAAATGTGCTGAAAAACTTGGCTTATACGCAAGTGTATACTGCACTGTATCTCAGAGGGCCAAGAGAAAATATTTAGACTGCAGGCCATACTTGTTTGTGTTGCAACCCCTCAGCCCTGCCCATGCAGTCAGGAACAGTATGTGAACGAGCGGTATTTCCATAGACATATACCATGTTCCAATACAACTTTACCTGTGCCCACCCAGACCGAAACTGGAACTACATACAACTTTCACATGCCACAAAAAGCTACCAGTCCCTTTTGCTTTCTTTCCCAATCCTTTCAAAATGCCAACTATTTTTAGTTCATGGGCCATGTGTCAACAGGCGGCATGTCCCTGGCTATCTTCCCTAGAGGTGCGGCTTGAAAATGAACTAAGACTAGTTCAAGGCCTGTACCTTGTCCTGGTAGTTTTCATATCTGCTCTGCATTTAGGTGCTACACACACACACGCAGGAGCTTGCAGGCTAACATGGCATGGAGGACCCACTTTTAGAATGGCTACATGTGGCGGCCATGCTGCTGCTGCTGCTCGCTGGGGGAGAGCAGCTTATTTGGGGCCTTTGGCCAGGGTCCTTTGTTCCTTTCTGCGGGCGGTTTGGGCTCCCTCACAGCATGACAATGGAGTTCCTAGACTGGGATTGGGTATTCCAGAAGGCTGGAAGTGGAAGCTGGCAGCATCTTACGGGCTGGCATGTAGACTGGCCCGTGACACCTGTGGTACACTCCATTTTGTCAAAGCAGCGCACACACACACACACACACACACACACAACATACACACACACCACACACACACAACACACACACACACACAC